AAATCATTTTATAATTCAGGATTGGCATTACATAATTAAAAAAAATATAAGGATGCTATTAAATGCTTTGATTAGGCTCTGTCTATTTGCATAAATCCTATTAGACTACAAAGAAAAGGTACTTTTTAATTAAATCTCTATATAGCTGATTCACTATTTGAGTTGCAGTTCAAATAAGAAGCTAAACAATTTTATTTGGATGCTTTACGCCAAGGATCAAATAATAAGGATTACATAAACAGATAACTTGCCAAATTGTGAAGCAACATTAGTCATAATTTTTTAATTGCCAGATCAGTTTTTTTTTATTTTCTATTTACTCAATTAGAGTAAAGCTTAATTTTCTTCATTTTCCCTTTCTTTTAAAACTTAAGATTTATAAGAAGGTTTTTCTCCTGCAAATAGATTACAAAAATCATCACAGGGTAGAAGCACTTATACAAGCCTAGGATCAGTCTCATTGTGATTCAATTTTTAAGTATTGAAAAAATTTTATCACCACATTTATAAAATTCATCAATGATGAAAGGTAATATGCATTCTTTTGGTCATTAAAGATCACAGAGTGAGTAAAGAAGGAGCACTAAAATGTGTGTATTAGTTTAGACTATGCAGTTGTTCTTTCAGTTAAAGGAAGAACAGGTATCCATATTATGGTCGACTGGAGTCAACTCATCTGAATAACAATAAAAAACAGGATTTTAATTCAATAATGACTCCTTGCAGCAGTTGACCGAAATTGTGTTTATGTGCAAATTTTTAATGGCTTTGCGATGGATGGGATCTACAAATGGTTTCCTCACAATTCAAGGTCGAACATGAACTTTTTTAAGGATCCAAAACTACTCCCTTCCAGAAATAGCATTGTTACATTGTGTCCCTTTCTCCATTGTTTTCAAAGCTCAACCCTCAAATCTGCTGTAGGTGTAGAACTTCATCAAGAGAAACCAACTTTTCATGATGCAGCTTTTCTATCAAGCTTAATAAACTGTAACAGTAATTCAAGATGCTGTTTCAAAAACCAGCCTACCTATATATGTTCTAACGTTGACTAGATTGAACATCAATCAATCATTAAATTAATACTACAGATGAATAATTTTATATCGTTTGTATTTTTATAATTATAAATACATAGAATATTTAATGGAAGCTCCAATCAATAAATGTACAGTCTCGATCCAACCCGTTCTGAAGTAGGAGTTGCTGCAAAAGTTTTGTAATTACTTCACTTAGTTGGAGATATAATCATCACCCCATCATAGCAGTGAACTTATTATTTCTTATTCATACCTAAAATTGGTTTCTTCATCTTCATGTTGTGCAGCACCATTTCATTCCATTCTCTTCATTAAAATATTAATTCATCATTCTCTTGCTGTTTCCCTTTTTCCTCTTTGTCCTGCTTGTACTGAGATCTGTTTCCTATCGTTTGTGACCTAAGTTTCTAAATTTTTTGCTGATTCGAATTTTCATTTCTTCAGACTTATTGCTATCCTTTTATAATCCATCTCCGCCATCCTTACCTTCTAGTCAAAATCCATTTTGCTATAATTTGTTTTCCTTTGGTATTCTTATTTTTCAGTTTAACACCATAAAAGTTGGCCCAAAAATATATCTAAATTAATTCCTAACCATTTGTTAAAAAATTTGAATTTTAATGAGAAACTCTCTCATTTTATTATTCTACATTGTGTTAATCCTTACATCTAATTAAAGTAGTGGACCATCTTAATTTATAGGCTTTCTTCAATTTTCTTACCAATAGGAATTTTCGATTTCAAATAACCAATTATAAATTTGTTACTTAAATTATCTTTTATTAATTTTCACTATAAAAATTAAATATCATTTTCATAGATAGAAGATGTAGTTTATTTTAAATTTCAGAGTCGAATTTTTGTAAATATCAGACTCCTAAAGGATTATTTATAGTTATATTTAGAAAATATTTAATTCATCTAAACATAAATTGCTTTGTTCCTATAGTAAGTTTTGTGTATTTCACTAGTCTAAAAAATACATTGTAAGATAGCAGAGAAAAATTCTAAGTTGCCTAATAATAGAAAGAACTTCACTATGAATACATCTACCAATCTCAAATAAAACATCAGAGGTAACCACTTGATTACATTTGATGTGCAGTAGTCTTATGGGACTGTTTGATTCTTGCATTTTCTAGAAATAACTTTTTTAACAGTTTTGTTTATCAATTAAGAGTTGTTAGGTTAATAGTTAATTACTACATCTGAAAATTTAGCGAACTAATGCTGAACAGATTAAGTTTCTTTTTACTGTAGAGGTAGGATGTATAAGATTTATTAATGAATCAGGATTTTTTCAGAGAGAATACCACATTTATTATTCGAATCCTCTTTCCTACTCCTTGCTAAAAAGATCAAGAAATTGTTTCTCTAAATTTTAAAATGTCATTCCCTAATTAAGCAGTTTTTTACTAAGAAAAGAGATACTTATTTAAATTTATTTTTTAATCTTATAATTCTCAAATATAAATTCCCTAGCAGGAACATTATATTTCTTAAACTGCCGAAAAATTTCATAAGCTATCAGTTTCGATCTTTTTATTGATAAGTTATTTTTGATTTAGAATAAATTACAGTAGATCAATCATGTCCATAAAACTAAAAAAATTTGTGATTTACAGATAATTATATTGTTTATCGCAAAAATTGTTTAATAAATTTATTTTTACATATTTCTAATGGATTTTTGCATGAAAGTAAAGAACCATTTAGCTGTTAGTTCCATAATTTAAGTCTAAGATATCGAGGCGTTTTTATATTGCCCAATAATGGACAAATAAGGATGTTCTAGCCTTAAGTAGTAATACAGGGGCAGGATGGAGAAATTTATAAATGGTTTAAAAATGATACAAATAAGTGTAGCACTTGGAACTCTTAAATTTATGACCCTAAATCATATAGTATTAGATATTTTGGAGAATGACTGATATTTTGTATTTAGGATGACAATTATTGAATTGGCTTTTGGAAGAATTATTAGTGATGATGTATGGAAACGCTGGAACGCCACCAAATTATTAAACATACCTTTCTGATTCAATAGAATAAACTTAAAATTCCACTGAAAAGAACTCCTTTACACAAGCCACCTTGGAGTAAATCGAAACAAGAAATTTAAGCTAACACAATAGTAATAAGTGTTTTTATGCGATGACTTGAATAGGTTGGCTTCTTTTAAATGTAAATGGAGAGAATTAAAGACCTAAATAGATTTCCTATTTGCAATATTTTAAAGAAGCTGAAAGAATTGACGCTCATTAAATGTATCAGGCAATTGAACTTTTTCATCTTTAACCTATCATCTTGGAATTCTTTATTGTATTTTCAAGTTTAAATTTATTTTTCTGTGTTTTTATAGTGTTATTGGGTTGTTAGAAACAAAATCATACTAGGTTCCCATGAGGTTGTCTAAAGAAAACTAATTGTTATTTTTGGTTATTAATTAGATTTATTTTATTTTTTGGGTGATAAAGGCTTCCTATGCATAACTATTTGATCTGGAAAATGACCAAGGATAAAATTATTCTTATTAATATTAATAAGATTTCCAAATTTTTCAGATTTTATAAAAATGAAGAAAAACAAAACTATAATTTAGATTGAGAAGTAATTTGTATGCTACCCTTGTTTCCACAATTAATTCTGTTACCACAATATAATTAGAAATTAAACATTTCTATT